TCAGGAAGACTTTCTTTGTGTCCTTATTGGGTCTCTCCTGTTGTACCAAGTTCACCTCTCCTTGTGGAATGGGTCAGGGTTCAGATGTTAGGCTTGATGTGTCTTCTTTCCATCTATCTTTTCTCTTTCCCCATCTCCCAAATCAGCACATAGAATCCAGAGCTTCAAGGGTTAACTGGACTAAAGGGTGTTATCTCCAACCCAGGGCATTCCCTCCAGAAGGTGATCCCTGCTCAGATCTTAAGTTACCTCCTGCCCCAGCCAGCACATCTGCTGTTGGCTCCGCAGACCTGGTCTCTATGGAGAGGGGCGGGCATCACAGGGGAGAAGCACCTGCCCGCCAGCCTGGGGCACAGGGTCCTGGGCTCCCAGGATGAGCCCTCTTCCCCTTCCACCAAGGGGGCTCCCGAGTTCTGCTGCACAAGCCAGGTGTCTCCAGGCACATGTATGTTGCCGACCTGGGCACACGTATGGTTCTGCAGGGCTATTTATGGAGGACCAAAACCCACACTCATGCCCCTTTTTAAATGCTCAGAGTATGCCACCTTTCCCCCCCACAGATGATCCCCTTGCTCCCCAAGTATTCATACAGGAAGCAAAGATGCCAAATCAGTAGCTGCAAACCTATCTCCCAGGGCCCCTCCCAGCCTTGCAGGGATCTCGAGAAGCTGTGGGACAAGCCAGGCCCCAGCGAGCAGCAGGTTCCAGACGATGTTTGCCAGCGAGAGAAGAGAGTAAAGTCTCTCCAGCTGAGCACCTCCCTGTGAGCATGCGGAGGTCCAATCTAAAGCCAAGGACAGAACAGGAAGAGCAACCGGTATAGAGGCTGCCCACCCCCCAAAGGACCCGACAGCGCATCTTGGAAGGAGCTGTCTGAGGGCAAATCCTAGGTCTCTTCCCAAAACCGACTCCCGGACACTCTGGCATCAATACAGGCATTATCAAGGCTCAGAGCTACTCACAAAATCCTAGCTGGAAAGACTTAAGAAATCAGTTGCATGTGAATATCCACCTGCTATCTATTGATGGCCCCAGTCCTGTGGTGACCCACACATACCAGTGAACAACACCTCCTTGCCCTCGTGCCCATGGCTCTGCAGGGGCCCGAGGCGTTGTAGATAACCAACACAAACACACAAAGCTTGCACACGCGTGTGTGCGTGTACCGACTCGACGCTGACGGCGAGACAAGATGCAGACTGTCAGAACGGTTCCAGCCTAAGTCCCATAGCTAGCTAGCGTCCATCCCAGCCTGGCACCCTGGCCAACATGCAAAGTTAAACAAAAAACAAAAAACAACCAAACGGACAACACAACAACAGTAAAACAGATGAATACACAGGCCCCCTCTCTGTCTCTCCCCCAGGTAGGAGCCATTCAAGTTACCAGGTTAACCAGGAAAGATCAGATCAGGAAAATCCACGGTATATTCACACCTCCCTTGGGTGTTTTCCGTTTGTGCCAAACAATGAACATTAGTCAGTGCTAAACAGTGGCGGATGGGGCAGACCCTCTGCCCGAACCCCCAGCCCCTCGCGCCAGCCCACTGGCTCAGCCGTCAGCACTAGGGTCCTAACGGCTGGTGCCATCATCCCGGCGGCATTCAACTGGGTCCTGGGTCAGGAAGCGGCCACCGAGGTGGATTCATTGTGCAAAGCCGGGTGGCCGAGGAGGGAACTAATACCACGCTTTCAGCCAGCGTGGGACCACAAGGGGCCCCCCTGCCCCCGAGCCACAGATATTCAGGCTCAGAGATGCCTTCGCAGCTGCTCTGCCGGGGCTGCTGGGCCCAGGCTCTGCAATATCTTCTCCTCCCCTCCAGCTTTGGCTATTAGGCCCTGAATCTGATTCCAAGACACTCTCCATAGCACAGCCTCCAAAACGGGCACTGAGACTGCTGTTCACACACGCTGTAATCCCCAGGCCAGCAGAATTGGTTTTGCCATAATGTCCTGCCCAGCAAGCCTGAGCACATCGCTGTCTGTGAGAAATGGGGAGAGAGGGAAAGGGCCCAGCTGCTCTGACACTCTGAGTTTCGAAGGAAACCACCTTCTGGGAGCTCTGTGCAGACTGCAGAGAAGGGCTGTGCGGTGGCCCGACAGGTCTTCCGAGGGTGCGCATGACACCTGGGGTGTGTGTGCTCTCTCCAGACAAAAGGTTTGGGGAAGCCAATTAGGGAGGGCGTGGTGTAGGTGGGACACCAGCTCTCCGCACCTGCTTCAAAGGTAGGTTCTCTGCCTCCCCCCAGGGTTCCTCCGGGCCCTCTTTAGGGTGCAGTCCCCAGGCCCTACTGGCCCTCTCCTCGGAGCTGACCTGTAGGAACTGTTATCTCAGAAGCTCGTGGGGCTTCCCCACCCAGCCTGGTAAAGTCTGTGTTGTAAAAACATACTTCTGTGTTTACACGTCAATAGCCAGATTGGGAATGTTGTGGGGTTTTTTTGTTTTTGTTTTTTTTAGTCAGGGGGTCATCATACACACTGGGGGCTGCCCCCACCTACTTTCCCCCAGAGAGGTCCTGTGTCGGTGCTCCCTGACACAGCCCAGGAGAACCCAGAAAAGAGCATCAGTCTGGCAAGTCCCCAGAGAGGAGCGGCAGTGAGCACTCAGGAGGGAGCTGGCAGGGGGGTGGGG